TTTTTTTTTTTTTTTTTATATTATCCTGTAATAGAACTTTCGTAAGGAGAACTTGATTGGCAAATCCTGGAATCTAGACTCTAATCATGGTCCAGTGATCCAATCGTATAATTCTCTTCTCCCTTACTTCAATGACTTATATTATCTCGGTCAGATCGGATTAAGAAGTTTGTGACGAAATCTCTTTTCTTTTGATATTTTTATATATATATATGTATCGTATGTGGCTTTATCCGATCGTCTTCAAGCGAATTTCACCTTGGGTCACCTCAAGATGACTTTTCATGGTAAAGGTGGAAAAAGTTAATCGTCGAGATTTGAAAGAGGGAAACTTTGGAGGGAAATCGGAGATACGCGTCACGAGGAAATAAAGTTTCGAAGGAAACTCTCGTCTTCTCGCTCGATCGCCAACGAATCTCGAACGAATTTTATTTATCCAATTTCCTCGATCGATAATATAATCGATCGAAACTACGAATACGAAACACGCACAGGATACTCATCGCTTTATTGTCCACGGGGAATGCGTGTTCCCTTATCTAGATTCGTATCAAATTTGTTCACATTTATGAGACGATATCGAAACGGATACTACGTTTCATCGAAACGAGTTGTTGAACGAGTAGTTGTCAGCTGTTGGGTCGGGTATTAAAGAAAGAAAAATCGAGAATATCGTGCACGACGAGCAAATATCATCGAGTTTTATGCTCGATGAACGAGTGGGCCATTATACGCATGTATAGAAGGGAAGGAATGTCGTTAGCGAGAAATAAGTGGCTCGTTTTCGCAATAAGAGAATCGGTAATATCGCGATCAAGAGCCCCGGATTTCTTACGATGGATTTCTTACGAGGGGATAAATCTACTCGAATCGAGTTCGAGCTGGATTTTTCCCTCGATTCGTGTGAAATGGGGGAGATAAAATAAAAAGAAAAAAAAAAAGGAAAAAAAGAAACGCGAGAAACGGAATGCGAAAAAGATAATATACCGTATCGACATGAAAGAATACATCGAGCAGAGTTGAAGAAATTATCGAAGCGATATATCGCATGTCTTAGCGTTGGAATAATTTAAAGCGTCTCTGCTACGTTCGATTAAACTTTCGCCCGAGAAGTTAGAAATTTCGCACCTATCCCCTCCTCGATCTCTCGTCGAAAACGATTTCCAACAACGATAATTTTATCCCAAAACTCGACGTGGAAGGATATCGAAGGAGGAGAGTAAGCACAAAAAAAAAAGTAGCAGAAAAATCGGTTTTCAGGGGAGAAAAAGAAGGAAAGGAAAATAGGGGAGGCGTGGTACCTCTTATCACTTCGCATCGTAACGTTCGATAAAGTATTGGGCAAGGAAAAGGATAGGTTTCCGGTATCGAAGCCGGGATCAAGTCCAAACGCTGCTCGCGTTGCTGGCAGAGAAATCGTGGGTGAATCATAAATAGGATGATGCCTGACTTGGCGAATCTAAGTGGCAATCGTACATTTTCATCCCCCTTCCAATCTTAAAAGAGAGCTTCTCGGACCCGATTGAATCTTCATTTTCATTACGTGGCAATATTTCTTATTCGATCTTTCCCCTCTTATGTCAAACTTTGTCCACGTGTATTGAAACGCTATTCCCGGTACCGTTTAATCGATAAACATAAAAAATATACAGGGTCGACCGGTGGCCAAAAATCGATTTAATCTCTGCCGTAAAAGGAATAGGATATAACGTCGATCGTTAGACATTGGAGAATTATATGGCCGTGGTGTAGGCTCGGGTAAATATTAAAATGATTTCAATAACTCTAAATTTGATTCGAGAAGTATCTTTGTTAGACAAATTTGCATCCAGCGCGTTTGCATCTTTGTAATTAATTTTGCGTACGATATTGGCCGATCTAACGACGAGTACAGTTATGGTATCGTGATGTTATTTATATCATATATTACAAATTATTTATAAACGTGCAAACATACTTGGCAAACTTTGCGTTTCTTTGTCTTTTTTATATCGCTCCGCGTTATTATTATATCGTGTGCAAGTGTATATATAAAAATATATAGGGGGAAGCAACGACCTATTCGATCGAACTTTAAAATCAATCGACTCGATTCGTTATTCTGAATAGTACGGAGTATATATGTATACTTGGAGGGATAAACGAAGAATAAATTAACGCCTATTGGAATGAATAATTTCGTTGGACGAGGAAAAATAATGGGTTGGATACGAAGATTCGAAATTAATCGATTCTTACTTGGACTTTTACTTTTTATAAATGGCGCCGTTTATTTTTAGAGAATTCTTAATTGCCGATTGAAAGTTTTAATCGTGCCGTTCCCACGTTACCACCTATCGAGCGGAAACAAGTTGAAACTTTAAATAAGCTTCGCTGAGCCTAAACAGTCTGAAATTTTTATCAATGCTACAACGTTGATGTATTATAGTAATTACACGCGTTGTTCAAACTTGAACAAACTTGAAAATTCTGTCTCTTCATTTTTATAATTTGATTTTAGTAATTTTCGATCTTTGCTTTTCAAAAATTCTTCTCTTTTTCTTTTCGAATGATAAAAAAAAAAAAGGAAAAATATTTTTTTAGTCATCGGATTTGTTACAGACTTGGAAAATATTCGATGAAATGAACTAGGCGGCGGAGCTAATTAAGAAAGAGTGAACTAGTTTACCGGCACCTCGTTACTCGTCACGATGAAAAATCAGTGTCACGGGGATTATTAACAATTCCGATCTTTGGCCTGCTTCTCTATCCGTATCTGCAGTCATTATTCTTAGCCCCGTTCTTATCTAGGTCGATCGCATAATCGACGGAAAATGTGCGTATCCTCGAATAATCGACCTGGATACATGCAGTATCGTCTGCTCGATTTCCATTATCCATGCTGCTCTAAAATTCCAAAAAACTTTATCGCCTCTATCTTTATCCTTTATTTATTTTCCAACCGAAAAATCTGCCAAATTATCACGAATTATCATCGCGAATTATCATGTACAACGAGAAAACTCCATCGAAAATCCCGCAAAATGGTAATTTAACTCTATAACGCTATAACTCTATCGGGTCTAACTCATAAATAACGGTTCGATATCGAAACAAGGGTTAAAAATATCCATTTAAAAATATCCGCAGCCGATACTCTTTCGGCGAACGATGCGTAAATTTAGCCTCCATCGGATCGATAACGTTTCGAGCGAAGTCGAAAACTTCCCAGTTCTATGAACTTCGCCTACACTTCGCGTACACGTACACACATATAAATATAGCGCGTATAGAATGCACGAATTTGATTATTGGCGCGAACTCGGATTATTGATTTCGTTGCAGATGGAGTACGGGAAGGATCTACGATTCAGCGAGCAATGGGACCGTTTGCAGAAGGAGTTCACCTGCTGCGGTGTGACCGGCCCTAAGGATTTCGGTAACCGATGGCCGCTCACCTGTTGCGGACCATCTGGCAACGTTAGCGACAGTTGTCAACCGTATACGAAAGGATGCGAGGAATCGTTGATACGATGGCTACGAAAAACTGCTGACTTGCTGTTCGTGTTGGGCTTCTGCGTGATAGCGTTCGCCAAATTGTGTTTCCTCGGTATACTGCGTTACGAGATAAGGGAGATGATACAGAAGATACGATTGTTAAGGGAGCCACCGCCGCCGGCGACCACCCTCGCGCAACCACCGTTCTCTCAAGTGATACCGGAAGCGACCAACAACGGGAGCATCGTTCGACGCACCACTCTGCCTAACGCTGTCACCCCTTCCGGTATGTTTTCTCCTGCTTATATTATTATATCATTTTTCGTGCAACTTTTATCGAATCTCTTTCCAATAATAAGAAAATGGGGAAAATTAGAAAGGGATAAGTTGAAAAGAGTTCGTTGCAAAAGGGATGACGCGTTCTTTTTCCCCCGCAAATTTTTGAGAATTTTTGGAATATTTATTTTCTTTGGGAAAATTTTGGAAGTCTTCAAATGATTTACTGATAACTTTGAAGATTTCACGTAAAGGGATGGGATATGAACGATGTGCATGTTTGATTTTGGGCGATGGACACGTAAAAAGGCACGTTTGGACGTCCGCATGGCATTAGGCCAAGTTTTCTAAGTTCCATCGTCACTTGGTGGCCACGTTATGAAGAAGAAATGATTATTTCCAAGTGTTTAAATATGCCTCTTATATCAAAGCATTTTAAAGGATTTATACGCCAGAAGTGAATTATATAAAATTATCCTAGCAAACAATATTAAAAAGAAAACAAAAAAGTTTCTAATCTATGCAAACGTGGGAAAACAATTGTTCTCGCGAAACTTTTAAACAGACTTTTTGCTTACTTTACAAGAAAACTCACGAGGGAAAAAGATATATATATATATATCTATAAAAATACATTTTCCCTCGACTGGAAATTCTCACAGAAGCTGTTTATCGGGGATTTCCGTTGAAAATGAAATTTTCGTTTCGAGATTTACCAAACAAATGGATTAACGTTTATTAAGGTCATCCCACGATTCCTATTACAACCCCTCTTTTTCTTTCTTTTTTTCACTTCTTTCATCGACTTCTCTCGCAGCTGGCTGGCTTCGCAGTCAATAGCACTTACACGGTTTAAACGATGCAAAAGCGTGACGAAAAAAAAGAAAGAAAAAAAGAAAGAAAAGAAAAGAAAAGAAAAGAAAAATAGGATTAACAGCGAAAAGGCAACGAGAGATAATTGGATAAACACGAAGTTAACCGTATATACGGTATATGCGACGTCAATAAGAAATTGGGAAATTGGAACGGGAACAAACGACGACGAGCTGTCTCCAAGTATCTTTTCACGAAACCCCGATAGTTGATATATCTCGTACATCGTATACGCGAACTAAAGAGACTAAAAACGAAGCTGCTGAATAGCACGAAACGAAAGTTTCAATAGTTCCTTGACGAGAAACTATAAAATCAGACTGACCGGAACCGTACTGTGCAATCATCGAGATTCCTCGAAGATAAACGTGGCGAGCGTGTAGTGCGGCTCGATCGAGATTCGTGTTCGATCAACTGGTTCCATTGATTTCGAATAAATACGTTTACACGCAAGAAAATGAGGCAAATCCTATCACGGACGCGGTTGAAACACGCGAGCTTCGATCCTCGTAACAAATCCAATGAAGATTTATGATGTAGATAAGCCGCGAGTTGCAAACGAGGAAATATTCTCCAAGTTTTTCTAATCCCTGGTGGTTGGAAGTATTTCTAGTAAATTGGAGGGTGACTGAACAATATACTGAACATTTTGAGCGAGGGTAGATGTGTGAGGTATGTAAAGGAAGGAAGGAAAGAAAGAAGGAAAGAAAAAAAAATGCCGAAAAATAATTGGCACGAAACAACAAAGGGGTTAACGACACGGAAGAACTGCGTGCATGGAGGAGTCGGCTCGTTTCACAGTCGGCGAATGTGAAATAATTCCATGTTGAAGCTGGCGATCTTGGGTCGGGGCTAGTCTAGTTTAAGCGATATAACTCGGCCTGTGTATGCCTGCCTTTGCACGTTTTGGGATCGGAATAGAAGAAGTAGGGCATTGCGTGCTCGAGTATAATAAGTATTTAGCACCCTGTTCGTACCGTCTCATAATTATACAAACAGATAGAACGAATTTTAAACTTGATAGCGGCACCTAAGAACGATCGTATATGCGATTTTAGTGAAAGGTCAAATCGCGAAACGATAAGAGGGAACCCGGTGGTATCGCTAATCACAGCGTGAAAATTGATTCTATTTAAAGTTTATTATTATCACAGGGTTTATAATCGTTATAAACCATTTCTATTCCTTTGAACTTATGGATACGAGAAGTATATCGATTTTTGCCAATTTTTCTACGGATATTTTATATCGATAATGAAAATCTCGATAAAATCTCGCAGTTTCCTAAATCTTCAGCATTATCTTCTCAAGGTCTTTCGATTGTTGGTGAAGAGAAAGCGTGAAGAAGAGACAATTTCTTTGAGATCTTGTCAACTTGTCCTTTTTTTTTTCCCAGAATTAATCCTTCCTCCGCCACTTTTTTATCCAAATTAAAGAAAAAATGTTTTTTCCATTGTCGATTTTATTAGTTAAATTCTTAGCACAGCTTCTCTGTAAAAAAGAGTTTTTTTCTTTTCATCGAATAATCTCCATAATAGATTTTAAATTTTTCCGAAACGAATCTGCACACGTAGAATCTGTATCGCTAAAAAATTAGCGATCAATTTTTAAAGAGCAGTCAAGTATACGAGAATTGAAAAGATGTATCGCATAGTTGCTTGCCATCTGTGCGAAACATTCATCCAATGCATGGAAATGGAAAGAAGAACGATGATATAACCCTAAACGAGCATAAAAATACCATCTTATTTTCCCTCTCGTTATGGAAAAAAGGGGAGGAAATAGTCCAATGTATATTATCTCCCCTTATAATCGAATTTACATCTCTTTCGAGCCGATCGAGAATGTATCCGCAACTTGTTCAACTATCCTCTTTCTTATCTTACGACATTACATTAATCTCGAAGATTGTAAAAGTTCATTATCGACTTAGCTAATCTAGGGGGGTGTTATCTGCACGAATGCGTGCGATCAATGGATCTCGTATGAACAAGCTCGATCAAGCTAAACTGATAGGGAGGCGATGTAATAAAAGACTGATAACACGCGATGTACATCAATAACTACCTTAACGTTACAACCATTATGGATGTTAATAATAGCACAGCGGTGTAAAAGTCAAAGGTTCTTGCGATTGTTTTGCCATTTCTGTACGCATAGTGACGCGAAAACGCGCATTATACGATAATGAAGATTATATTCGAAATAATCGACGAGTTTCTCGGAAAGAAAGAGCGAGAAAAAAAAAAAGAAAAATAAAATTTTACAATTTAGAAAACACGAGAGAGAAGAATATATAATAATTTTTCGAATTGTCGCTCGAAAGGAAGATGTTATACCGATGTTTCGTTCAAAACTTTTCAAAAATTGAAAAGTCACAGCGTGAAAAAAAGTATAAAAAGAAAAATTAAGATCCCTTACTCGAGAGATTTCGCGAAATTATCCATCTTGATAACAGGGAAAATTTAAATTTCAGGAAACGCATCGTTGTTGATTCAAACGGAGGAATGCAACACCGGAAGGCATCCTCTGTTGGCGAACAATTTGCAGGATGGTGGGGCGGACAGCGACACGAACAGTCATTGCGCGTTGATCCTCGAGGAAACAACGCCTACCTCGGCGAATCATAATTGCGGTAACAGAGAGAAAAGCAATGGCAACAACAATTACGAAATGCGAGAATTCAACAGGAGGCTGTGGTTGTCGAACGGTGGCAGCCCGGGCACGGGTATAACAGCCGGTGGTCAAAGCAGGCGCACCTGACTATGGAAGTGGTGGCGAAACACGTCGAACCGTCTCCTCTACAGGAGCAATCGGTCTGCCGAGATCACCGTGTATAAGTAAGCCTATCTGTATATGCGTGGCTCTGAAATACACACGCGAATAACCCATGTTAAAACATACGAGAGGACAATTTTTTCTTTTTTTTTTTATTTAAAAAAGAAAAGAGAAGCGACAAACGCGAATCAACCTTCGGATTTTCATTTGGTGGTCGAATAGTTAGTTGGTAGAATTATTAATTAATCGTTAAATATGAGAGATAAGCTTGGAGAATTTTATTTATTGTATTATTGTATCCAAGGATTAAAACAATCGTAATGATAATGATAATAATAATTTCTTTCGATTCGAAGGGAAAGCTTAAAATTAATAGGAAAGGAGAGTAGATCTTTCACTCAAGAAAAGACGATACATACGTTATTATAGGCACGACAGATTGTAGAGACGTATCGAAAGATATTACATTCAGGTTATTGATTTTCACGTAAATCGACGTTTCCGTCGAAT